TGGGGCTGGCAATAGCAAATGTCACTTCATTTAAAGAGTGAGAAGACTCATGCATGCTTAAAGTACTTTGACTACATGCACTCGGTAAAAATTGCCCACTAATAAGGGTCGTAGATTTGAAAGTTAGTCAACATTCATTTCTCCACATACACCTAATTGAAAGCTAAGACCGAAAGGGATTTTGAGTACCACTAAATTGGGATTACATTTTTATATACGGTGTACCGTAAATCAAGTAGAGCTAGTAAGATTAACAGCATGATAGTCTTTTATGCTGGAGAGCTGTTTGTATGAAAGTAGCCAAATTGTTTGTCTTCCCAATTACCCTTTCGGTCTTAGCTTCTATGATTTGAACTTTTTGGACCCGACAACGTTTCTTCAATTAGGTGTATACAATAAAATTAAGACTATAAAAATAGACGTTTTCGACTACGAAGTCATCATCAACTAAAGTAAAAAAGTGTACTACTAGGGTTTTTATGTAATTCCCTTAGGGAAAAGCCTGAACAGAAAGCACTTGATTTGTTTATTGAGGGATTGTTTTGTATGGAGAAACCCTTAAATAATTTTCGTGAGCGTTCATTTTGTTCTTTATAAAGAATAGACCAAGAAAACGTGTGATTTGGATTACGTTTGAGGTGGCGAGCTGGCTCAGATGTATGAGAGTAACGTTTCCCATATATATTAGTGTTCACCGAATGAGCAGATGCCATGGAAAACTACATTGGATGGATGAATGTTTTTGCCTTTTTAGGTAAACGGACTTCTGATTTTTCTTGTTTGTCATAAGCATTCGTGTAAATAAAGTCGTAACGTGAAAGTTGGCCTTCAAAGAGTTTTTTATTCTAAACGATATATTCTTAAGTGGAAATTCTTATCACTAGTTACCCGACGAAAACACAAAATATTTACYCCTTCCCATGGCAATATTGAATTAAATTGAAAACAAGTGCATAACAATGTTYTAACAACATTCCTATTGACAAGCGCTACTATGGCGAACGCAGTGCTCCCATGGAGCTAATGAAAAGKCCCTCGCAGGTGTATGAATAAATATGTTTGACTTTTGTAGTGAGTCTGATACTGATTTACTTTCTATTATTTTATGACGGCATATCTTGTGACTTTCAAYTGAATTCCAAGATGAAAAACAATAWTAATAACTTGGAGTAACCAGCTGTGACTCCTCCTTCGAACTGGCTTAAAAAGAATAAAAGCTGGCCTTAGGCCTGTAAAGMTTAAGCTTTACGCCATTACAGAAGAATCCACAGAAAACTACGAGTAAAAATGTTGCTCCATTTGATCAACTTTGCAGCTCTTCTTCTTGGTAAGAATGTCCAAAGCTACAATTATCACATTTTATCATGCACTTTTTATGTTGTTGGTTAATTTTTCACAGTTGCTTGTTACAGTCCGCTTTTGAGMACGCCTAGATTGCGAGATATTTTTTTGTGAACTTTACGATAACAAAACTTTTAATAACTTGACGGATCGACTGCAAACCATGCAGGCAATTTAAATTTCGTCAACAACCTGATCGAGTCAGTCATATATAATATAGAATCTTTAATATGCTAGAGTAGTTGCCACATCTGTTCATGTATTTTTTTTGTGTGAATCTCCACGTATTAAACGATTTTCGTTTTTAAATTTTGTTYTTTTAAAAACGTTTTTACGAAATTTCTTAAAGTTCCAGTTTAAAACAGTTAGTTAAGTTTAAAAGTCAAACAGGTAARGATAGTTTATAAATTCAAACTTTTTACTAGAAAAAAATACTTTTAAAACAACTTCTGGCTTACTCACTTTGACGCTTGCTTATTAAAACTGTAAAGAAACACCCGTGCACTTTGTGAGATTCGAGGCATTKCACTACAATTTTTGGCAAGAGGAAAACAACTGAAAACTTAATTTGTTTCTGGTAATTAAATATAAATGAATTCCTCAAGTTAAATGAATTCCTCAAGTAACAGATCTTGGCTTTGTCTTTGTAAAATGTGCCAATTGCATAGTTCTAGTATAATCCTCAAGTTTTCATAATGTTAAAACTTTGTGTTTATAAGAGTCATTCTAAATAATATTATAATATTAATTCTCCTCAGTCATGCAGATTTTTTTTTTCGTCGACGACTTCTTCGAATTGTTTCTATTTTCGATGTCACAGTTAATGTTCTGGAGCTTTTTGCATTTTTTCTTGCTTTTCCTCGTGTTTTTAGTCCTTCTTTAATAGTTATACATACCAAGCTGGATGTGTTCTTGTTCTTGTTCTTGTTCTTGTTCTTGTTCTTGTTCTTGTTCTTGTTCTTGTTCTTGTTCTTGTTCTTGTTCTTACCTATATATTTTTTTCTCTTGCAGTGTTCATAAACCTATCGGAGGGAAGAACAAACGATTCTTACGAACACCAACTGAGAGAGATAATGCTGGAAAATTCTGACAAAATTGTTCGCCCTGAAGTGAAGGGCAATGACCGAATACCCATCAAGATCCAATTTGAATTTAAACTAATAAAACTTGTCAAAGTAGTAAGTACTCTTTAGCGTTGCCTAACGTCTGTGCAAGAACTTTTGTTTCTGTGTTGAAGAGTTTTTACATTATGCATTATGATTTTACCAAATAGGGAAGCAATTAATTGATCCATATTATGCAACTCGAGTTATGAAAAATATGAATATTTCACTATTTTGACATCCATATCCCTACAGTAGAAATCTGGTGAGTAGTTTTTGCTGTTTTTTTTGGATACTGATTCACGGTCGCGCAGTTATGACGATTAATAATTCGAGCTGAGAACCGTAAACTGAACTCAAATTTTGCAGAGAATGTGACATCTGCTTGTGAGACACGTGACATGCTCGAGAAATAGTATGAAGCGTTCATCATCAACAAAAAAAACATGAACATAAACATTAACATTTTATT